ACCGACGCTGACCTGTGCTGTGACCGGTGGCAGGGTGGTCCTGTGACGCCGACACTGACCTGCGCTGTGACTGGTGACCAGGTGGTCTTGTGACGCCAACGACTCGCCCTCAGCTGTTGCCAGGCCTCAACCAGGTGCTGCTGTCCATGAAGAAGGGCGAGACGGCCCTGGCCCTGGTCAGCCCCGACTACGCCTTTGGCAAGATGGGCTGCGGCCCGCGCATCCCGGGAGGTCAGTGGACGCGCCCGCCTCGGCCGGTGGCGCCCCCCGCCTCGGCCGGTGGCGCTTCCTGTCAGCCGGGTCCCCGGCGCGGCTACGGCGGCTCGGCCGGTGGCGGTGACACTGGAACGCCGGGAGGGGGAGGGGGAGGGGAGGCTGCTCCGGCGGCCAAAGCACATGTCCCGGTATCCCCCCGCCGGTGTGGGCTGTCGATGGACAGCCCTGGACGTCTTTTCGCGTTGTTTAGTCGCGGCTGTCAGCTGACGCCAGCCGCGTGCGGCGTGACCTGTCGCCCGAGCTGAGGGGCTCTGGTGTTGCACCACGGGACCCGGCTGGACGCCTGGAGCGCCCCGGGTCGGGTGTAAGCTGCTGAGAGCGGCCGCCGGAGCCCGTGACCTGTGCGGTCCGTGACCTGTGCGGGCTATGACTTGTGCGGGCCGTGACCTGAGCGGATCGTTACCTGCGCAGCCCGTGACCTTTGCGAACCTTGACCTGTGCGGGCTGTGACCTGCGCGGGCCGTGACCTGTGCGGGCCGTGACCTGCGCGCCCCGTGACCTGAGCGGTCCGTGACCTGTTCGGCCTGTGACCTGTGCGGGCCGTGACCTGCGCGGGTCGTGACCTGTGCGGGCCGTGACCTCGGCGGGCCGTGACCTGTGCGGTCCGTGACCTGTGCGGTCCGTGACCTGTGCGGCCTGTGACCTGTGCGGGCCGTGACCTGTGCAGGCCGTGACCTGTGCGGGCCGTGACCTGTGCGGGCCGTGACCTGTGCGGGCCGTGACCTGTGCGGGTCGTGACCCGTGCGGGTCGTGACCTGTACAGGCCGTGACCAGTGCGGGCCGTGACCTGTGCGGCCCGTGACCTGTGCGGGCCGTGACCTGTGCGGGCCGTGACCTGTGCGGGTCGTGACCTGTACAGGCCGTGACCTGTGCGGGCCGTGACCTGTGCGGGCCGTGACCTGTGCGGCCCGTGACCTGTGCGGCTGTGACCTGTGCGGGCCGTGACCTGTGCGGGTCGTGACCTGTGCGGGCCGTGACCTGTGCGGGCCGTGACCAGTGCGGGCCGTGACCTGTGCGGGTTGTGACCTGTGTGGGCCGTGACCTGTGCGGGCCGTGACCTGTGCGGGCCGTGACCTGCGCAGCCCGTGTCCTGTGCGGGTCGTGACCTGTGCGGGCCGTGACCTAAGGATGTCGTCGTGTGACCGCCAGACATGGAAGCCCTGTTCGAGGTCACCGTGGTTTCGTTCACCGACTCGACTGACGCTGACGAGTTCGATGATCTGACCGAGGAGGAGCAGAAGAGGTCCTCCTTTCAGATGCGGATCAAGGCCATTCGTTGCCACCATGTGAAGGGCAACGAGCTCTACTCGCGCCGAGAGTACCACAAGGCTGCCCGCAGGTGAGGGGAAGCGTCCTGCTGTCCCAGTTCCAGCCCCACTCCCTCTCCCTCTCCCTTCTCCAGCGCTGCGTCGCGTGTCAGTGACGTATAATTAGCCCACAATTGGCGTGAGTGGGGCCGGTGAGGAGGCGGCCCAGACGGAAGGGTGAAATCCGGCGTACAAAATTAGCTATCGTAGCTAAACCTTTTTTGTTCAATCACGTGGCTTTTGTGCGGAATCGAAGCGCTGAAGCTTTGATGTTTGTGATTCGCGCTCTTCTACTCGGCTCCTTGATAAGAAACGAGGCTCGGAGGCATACGGAGAACGGGGGTTACAAGTATCGCTCCCCTCCCCCCGCCCTCCCCTGGGCGGGCGGGGGGCGTATTTGGGGATCTCATGACGATACCCGAACCAGATGATCCAGATTGCATGCGTCGTGTGCTAAATATAATAACGAATGATAACATATGCTGAGACTTTGCGGTAAGACGATGCGCCAGGTTCATTGAAACCATATGGCTTGACCATCATACGAGGCCAACAACATCTCAAGCGCTATGCGTCTTCATCGTGCGGGACAGCGGCGGCCATCTCACAAATGGAGCACAGTACAACTATGTCGTCCAACTCACAGAGCGGTGCGTCGCCGTGGGGGCGATGCCGACTCCAAAGCAGTAGCACCCCTCTCCCAGCCCATCGGTTGACGACACTGACCTCTGAAGGGGCGTGGGCCCTGGGCCTGGGCCTGGGCGTGGCGTGAAGGGGCGTGGGCAGTTATGCCCCCGGGCGTGGGGCTACGGCGTCCTCGGACGTTCTCAGCCCCCCCCCCCGCCCTCCCCCACCGTTTCTTCGAAGCGTGCTGACGGCAGTGGCCGACACGATTAGACCCATTGTGTCAGCTGTGTGCCGGCTTCGCCGTGGCAAAACTAATCGGCTGATGTGTCCGATGTAGTTCGATTTAAATCGGCCGCTGCCGTGTTTCAGCTACAAGGACGCCACCCGCGTATTTCTCTCGAACATGTCCTTCAAGAACGAGGAGGAGCACCAAGAGGCCAAGCACATCATCTTCAAGGTGATGTCCAACCGGACGCAAGCCCTCCTCCAGCTGGCCCGGTGGAAGGAGGTGAGAAGCCCGTGCAGCGGTTTGTGGACGGCCATGGTGCTTGTCATGGGATGTACACGGAACGTCTGTCGGACGAACTTGTCCTTCACCCGGGTTAGGAGTATGTATGTCGTTCACCCGGGTTAAGAGTATATATCCAAGGAGACGGTACGCGTTCATGTGCGCGGTGGTCGAATGTTCATGTACGCGTTTGTCATGTTCATGTCATGACATTTTTTGCCATGTTAATGCGCACGTCATTCAGGGTACGCGTTCATTTGCGCGTTCAAGTCACTGTTGTGATCAAGGTACATGCCATGTACAATGTGTGTGGTTGTTGGTAGTAAATTCTGTTCTTTTCTTACCGAGCCTTTACACTAAGGCGATAAATCGTGCGTCTGCTTCCTTTGATTGAAGAATCGTGTCGATTCGCTTCTATTGATCGAGACGAACTAATCCACCCTCGGCCTGTAATGCCATTGGCCCCAAATGAAACCATCAAATGTGTCCCAACCGTCCATCAGTCGAAATGATCCGAATCCTTCACCTTTTTGGTTTACGATGCCCATATGGCCCTGGCGATATTGCGTCATAGCTCTGCCTCTGTCGATTGGTCATCAGCCGTTCTCGGCCGGCCGGGGACGTCGGGGGGAAAGTTTCTGAAAATGGTCGGCTGTTTGCCAGCCCCTAAAGCCTTGAGACGGGGTGTGCGGTGGACCGTGCCGCGGGCCGGAGAGGCTCGCTCCTGGCGCGGCCCCAGCGTCAGCACGCCGAAGGCCGCCCTAAACCGGGCCATCGCTCATAAGCCACCGGCGCGCTCTGCGTCTGCCATCGACCGGCCGGCCGGGCGGGTCGCGGCCGGGTCTGACCGGGCTCGGGCCGGCAGGCTGCCCTGCAGGGTCGCCAGGCGCTGCACTACGAGGACTGCGCCGACCCGGACATGCGGCAGAAGCTCTACACGCGGTGAGGACTCCACCCTAGTCCTACTGCCGCCGCCCGCTCGCCGGCGCCGGCGCCGTCTGGCCACGCGCCGTCGCCGTCTGGCCGCGCCCGGCCGGGTGGTGTTCGGTCTAGCTGTGCTCTGATGGGTAGATGTGCTCGCGCGAATAGCGGGCCGCTGCCGGGCGGTCCGAAGCTCACCGCTTAAGCTGGTGATGTCGGCCGCCTTAGTGTGATGAAAGGGATCGGTGCGCTTTTTATCGCAGCTGTCTTCGCCCGTGTTTGCGGCTGCCGTCTATCGAGAGGGCGTGTGCCGTCGCCCTCTGTCGTGCGCCCTTCCATGCCCTTTGGCCTCGTCGGTGTCCGTGGCGAGCGCGTTCGTATCCCTGGCCGTCATGCCTTGTTCCACACCCCTGATCGCCGTGTTACGCGCATTTGGACTCAGGTTCGTACCCACGTGTTTCGTGCCCCTGGGCCATGTGCTAAACCCCGTGGCCTACTCTTTACGCGTCCCTGATCCAGGCGTTCTGCGCCTCGACCACGTGTTCCACGCTCCTGACCCACGTGTTCCGCGTCACTGACCCACGTGTTCCGCACCACTGACCCACGTGTTCCGCGCCACTGACCCACGTGTTCCGCGTCACTGACCCACGTGTTCCGCGCCACTGACCCACGTGTTCCGCGTCACTGACCCACGTGTTCCGCGCCACTGACCCACGTGTTCCGCGCCACCTGACCCACGTGTTCCGCGTCACTGACCCACGTGTTCCGCGTCACTGACCCACGTGTTCCGCGCCACTGACCCACGTGTTCCGCACCGCTAACGCTGCCGCCGGTCGGCGCTCCGCCTGCAGGCTGGCCAAGGCGATGATCTACGTGCCCGAGTACGAGGAGGCGTCGCGCCTGCTGAAGCGGGCCGAGCGGCTGCGGCCGCGCAGCCGTGACGTCATCGCCCTCTCCGAGCTGCTGGCCGCGCGGCAGAAGACCGACAAACTGTAGGTGGTGGTGATGTCCGGCCGTGGGGTTGCCGCTGCCGGCGGCCGGCCGAGACTGGCTACTCCGCGCCGTATAGCGAGACGGACGTGTGTGCTGGGCTTTTTAATCACGCACAGCGCTCATGTTTCGCAGCAGTATGCTGCTTGAAGGTCTGTATGTGCCGAAGCGCGTTGTAGCAGATCTAGTCGCGGTCGTAGGCGTGCTGTGACAGATGTTTAAGAGGGCGAGAGAGCGAGCGCGTCTGAAGCCGTCAGTTTCGTGCCGATTCCCGGGATGTGGTGTATTGTGAAATGCATTTGTTGTAGCCAGATGTACTCCCAGTGCCACATATCACTGCTGGCTTTTGGCACGCACGGGGTTGCGACTTGATTGGGCGTGATGCCTTTCATTCGCTGATTGCAGGCAAGAGGTGGAGTTCGCCAAACGTGCATTTCAATCCCACAAGCAGGTCGACACCGCGGAAGCAGCGCTCAACGCCGACAGCGAATCAAAAACGGAGCAGGTGGGTCGCTGAAGGGACGTGGTTGTCGCGGTTTGTGCCGGAAAACAAGATTTACTCCCGTGTAACCGTGCGGAACATTGCGCAACTTCTACATTGGCCGTTGAATCGCTTCTGCGTGGGTTGTTCGATGAGCAAATAGGTTGTAAGCACACCTTACTAATACCCATATGTGTGTGCAAACTGCGGTTGCCGAGTTAGTCGGCGTGTCCTTCGTCAGCGCCCGGCGGTAAGTACCCTGCCCCTGTGTGCCCGCTGGTGCGCTGTCCCAGCGAGCGCCCGGTACGTGAGCTCCGCCCGCCCCCCTCGCTCTCGGCACGCCTTTGAGGCCTGGTTGGGTCCGACAGCCGGAGCCGGAGCCGAAGCCGGAGCCGACTACAATCCGCGTGTCGGACGAGTTCAAGCACGACATCGAGCGCACGCTGCGCCAGTTCCTGGCGGACCCGTGCCGGCGCGAGCTGGCGCTGCCGCTGCACCAGTCGGAGGACGGCCACCACAAGCTGGCGCACATCTGCGTCCGCTGCCGCCAGCTGGGCCTGCGCTTCGTCGCCGACAGCGGCTGCGGCCGGCCGCGTGTCGTCAAAGACTAGCCGCGGCGGAGCTGAAAGGGGAGAAGGGGGGGGGGGGGGGGTCACTGCAGGGCTGGGGTACGCCGGGCGCCATCTCGGGTGGGTTGGGAGGCTCTCAGCGAAGGGTCCGAACTTCCAGAAGGTTCTCCTGATGTGCTGTGACGCTACCTCGGACGGTGGATAGGTGTGAGTTGCGAACGTCTCTGCAGTCGTATACTTTTGTACTGACCTGCACGAATGTGTTGTATCAGGCAACTGCGTACGGGGTAGGCAGTGGCTAATTAAAGCGTCGCTCTGTTTGATGCCTGCTCTTCCTGCATGCGAGTACACATGTTGCGCGTTGTGACTCGTGCAAAGAAATACATGTTCTATGTCATTGGTGAAAGTTTCATTCGGCCAGTATACTGTGTGCTACTATAAGCGCCCAAAAATATCAATAACTGCGTGAATAGTATGTCGGTACCAATATGCGTGGCTCACTGATTGCCATTCTTAAGCCGCCTTGTAATCACGTTAATGAGTTTGCCGTCGTCGTGCCGTTCTGTAATGACGTCATCGATTGAAACGTTTGGTTGGACGGCGCAGACGTCAATGGCTTTGCCATTGCAGTTACGTCCCATTGGAGTACAGATTTTGCGGAATCGGAAACAACGGCCCTGCTGTCAGCCTTGCTGGCAATGGGAGTGAGCCTGGTGGTATTCAGCTGATGCATGTACTACTTCGAACAGCACGCTAACAAATGCATTCAGACCCTTGCATAAGCACCATAGTCACGTCGTGAAATGCTTCGCTTGCCATGCAGCTGGACAGGTAAACTAGCGGAAATCTGTGTAGCACTTTGCCCGGGTGGCACGCTGTAATGTATCTGCATTTGGACAGAAGTTAGCGCTCAATGCCTGCTCAGCTTGATAGAGTGGTAAAATGAGTTCATATCATTGTGTAATGTTCGCAGACCCGTTGCCATTTCTCAAGCTCGTAGAGCTGGCCCCGAATGTATTATGGGGTCACGGATCCATAAATCAACTGGTTTATAAGTGGATGACTGAGATAGCCTAGGAAACTTGGCGGTGGCGATCATGCTTGCAAAGTGCGTGATTTACTGAATGTTCGCAGACATCGTTCAACAAAGGGAGGAGGTCGCGGAAAACGAAGATACACAATCACTCGAGGCGATATTTTAAGACGCGGTGTTAGCCGCGGCAAGTTTTCTGTCTCCTCCAGGGGTCAATGGTTTTCCAGACCGTCTTACAGAACTGTTCCTAAATACGGTACATGAAAGTTTTTTTTTTACGCTGCGCGCGAGCAGTCGTAACTGTTGATTCGGATCAGGCACAGAAAGAACCCAATGAACACGATTACATCATTTCCGTGAAAGCATTATCATGTACTCCAGCGGTCTGTCTGTGTTTGCAAAGAGCTAAGTGCAAAGACTTGCTTCGACGCATTTCGTTTTCTTGGAATGCCACGCTTGGGTAGCGCCGCAAACTTTTTTGGAGGATGGCTATGCAGTTGCCCACAGTGCCTCCAGTGTAGAGGGTTCCCTCTGGATGGTGGTCCTGTCGACATATTGAGACTGATTATTTCTGCGCAACTGTTTTAAGGTGCAATACTTTATGAGGCTTGTGCACAGTTCCTGGGATCACCGACGCTACCGAGGTCGCTCCCTTTGTTACTTTTTCAGTTTGCTATAGCATTTTGTTTGCCGCTCCTTATCTACTGATTCTATCATTTCTCAAAGCATAGCTGAGCTAGTCTCTTCCTGAAAACAAACGTGGAAACGATCCAGCAGATGCCTCAATACGGTTTGAGCGCAATAATGAAGCCGGCATTTTCTATATCTGCATTTTATTAGAGACATTTGGCTTTATTGACAATAATCTTTATGATGACCTCAGTAAACTCTTTCCGGAAGCAGTCCGCAGCCTGCCGCTGGTCGGCAATTATGGCGCATATTTGGGGTTAGGGGTAGGCAGGAATTGAAATTGTTGGACGTAAATCGTGTAATTATATCCATAGTAGTGCACATGCAGGCGAGTTCTTGGTGTGGTGGTTTGCCGCCAGCCGTCCGCCCGGCCTCGCGTCGTTCACCGACCGAGGGCAAGGTCGGACGGTACGCGCGGGTACCAGGGCGAGGCTGAATGGTATGGTTGGTTGTATGGTTCCTATTTTGAGGTAAGCGGAGGGTTTCGGGCTATCGGCGCAGTGATCTGGATCATCTGACGGTGAAAACGTCTCCGCTCTGCGCTCCTTTCTCCGCGGCCGCCACGGCACCGCGCGACGCGGCGCGACGTGGAAAATAGGTCCAAAATGTGTGTAAAATAGGCGGGAGGTTGGATGGGCGTGAGACAGAAGAAAATATACGTGTGTGTGTGAAATTGTGAAGCAAAACGCGTAGTGATTTTTTGGGCCAATCTAGGTCAATCTAAAGCAATCTTGTAACTGACATTTCCCTGACTTCGTCGGTTGGAGCCTCGCATGTAAACTCTTAATAGCTCGCATGCTCACTCCAGCCTCCATCTATACTACAATGCACCAGGGAGGGCACCGAGAGGGGCAGACGTTTTTATTAAACCGAAATCCCGCCTTGCCCGGACCCCTAAACCCCATGTCACTACCGGTGGACGAACTTTTGGCAACAGTGGGCACCACTCCGAAAGCGGCTTACCTGTCTGAAAAACGAAAAATGTATTTTTGCTGCTGTAACTGGGCACACATACCCTCCCCCTCTTACGTTCCGCTGCTTATACGCCGTATCGCCACAAACGATTTTGTCGTCTTCCCGGGGGTCTGGACGGGAAACATCTATGACCTTTTTATTCAATATATCATGGTAAGAACATGCAATCGGGCCCCGTTTCAGCGTGCGTCGGTGATCCATATTTCAAATAAATGTGTGCAATAACAAATAACTATGTTGCATGTGCCGTTTTCGACTCGCGCAAAGCATCTGGTCTTGGCATTACTGACACATTTTGCTGCCTCATGAACTTGATAAATGTCGGCAGATATGAATATCCGACCCCGAAAAACGCTGGATCTTATGATACTCGGACACTATGAAAGTTGAACTTTTAACACGCCCCCGGCCGGGAAAAAGTTGACTTCTTCCTACGGTTCTTCGGACACACCTAAAAAATGAACAATCGCAGCAACACCAAATTCTCAGCATCTATTTATCTATCAATGTGGCATCCTGTGTGAAAGTTTGAAGCTTTGATCTGCTAAGGTCAGTGACCTAGATCAGGTCAAAGAGGTCAACTTTTAAAACGCTTTGGCCACGTGTAACTTTCGTGTGCATTTGCCATTGTTTACACCTGTCATTGTAATAGAACATGAGAGTGCCTACTGCTTGTGTTTTAGATTTTTCGAAACAGATGAGATCAGTGACCTAGGGTGAGGTGAATTTTGTTATTTTTGGTCAAACTGTAAATTTGTTCGTATTTTTGTACTGTTTTGGTGTCAGTGTATGAGTAAACGGGTACTAACTAACATGCGCAACCACCATACGACCACAGAATACGTGACATTGGCCAAGATCATTGCCACCTCTATGGGTAGCTTCTGCAAAAGACATGCTGAGGTCAAAATAGGCAGTTTTATTGGGTGATTTTGGATGCAGAATTACGAATATTCGACTGAAAATGTGTTGTGGCATCATTCTAATGCATAATGAGGTCACAATAAGTCACGTGAGGGCATGCAGGGTCGTGTAAGGTCATCCAAGGTCAATGACCTCTGTTGTCAGCGACGGAGAGGACTAGATGAATGATTGTGACACATATGACCACCTGCTTATCGTGTCTGTGAAGCTGATGTCACGTATAATATGAAGCACCAACGTGCCTGTTCTCAGTTTGCTGCGAATACACTGTCAAGCGTCAAGGCGACTACGCACAGTGCATGCAAGAGCATGCGATCTTGAGTACCTGCAGATGTACAACGCACTATTTCTGACTACAGAAAAGCATTGCAATGGTCACTTAGAACCGGTAAGATCTTTATTTTTTCATTTGAATGACTCATGAATTTGACCTAAGTTGAACTCAGCTGAGCTCTAGGTCAGCCTGAAATGATGTCTTTGTGTCTGGGTTACTTTTGTTCCACAGATGCCCCTAACAAAATCATCAGCTTAGTAAGAAGCACTCTGTGAACAATATACTTATCGTTCTTGTAGGATACTGGTAGACCGAGTTTAAGCGGTGCCCTGACCTGGCCTGACCTTTGTGAGGGAATAAAACTAATCGGAATGGGCTCCCACGGTCTAAATGTCTATTGCTATGCCCTAAATATCCGTCTTCACGTTCTAACAATGTTAATACGTGACGACGGATATTGCTGTGTATTAGTGGTCCTTATCACGCGTGTAAATTGCTGTGATATATGGAATAAATATGTTCCAAAATGCATATTGCAATGCATGTTGGAACTGCATCCATCCGTTTTGTTTCCGCGACATCTAGGGACCTCACATTTGATCTCGGGTAAAAAAATGATGTGCATGCTTTATGATTTGACGAGACCTTCACAGCGGTATGTTTTCTCTCGCACAACGCATGGAAGTTGGAGATCCCAGGAGGAGCACTCAACTTTCCCCGGCCGGACACGGCTGCTTCAAAGCCCCAGCCGGGCGCAGGATGAACACAGAACTATATAAAACTTGACGTTATGAAAATTCTGTCCTAGTGGACATCGACCATACGCCTAGAGCTTTTTGTGCACAGCCCATGCATGACATGCTGCGGGCTAGAAATGTTCTGCATGAACACGCACATGTACTGAATTTGTGTGTGGAAGTTCACAGACATGTAATTAGCCGAACGCTATACTACATTTATATATGTTCAGACATTTAGTGGCTATCGGAAAACAAAAGTACGTTAACTTAAAAAGGTGTGCCTTGGCACGACTTCTCTTGTCATGACGGCACTACCAGAGGAGCATTCGCCGGGATGACCGACAGCCGACTTAGAAAATCAGCTGCACGATTGGTTCTGCCCGTGGAGGACGGAAATATGTGTTCTCAGCACATGCTTTATTG